CGGGCACGTAGGAGACCGTTGTTCATCTGGAGCGTCCACTAGTTGTTGAACTAAGTGTGCAGACTGCGAAGGACCACGCCAAAGGGCCCGGAGCCGTATCCTGCCAGACTGGCTGGGGTCTCCTGAGCAGCTATTCGGAGATTAACCTTCTGTCGGAGAAGAAAGATGCTGATTTCAGAGCTAACCCGTATCAGCAAAGCCCCTGGGGCCCCCATCTGGGCTAAGTGGGCAGCTTTCTGGGGCAGCAAAAAAAATTTTAGCAATAGACCATGAAGAACAGAAAATCCCTAAAATCCACTTCACTGTGATGAGTGTTTTCCGACTTTGCGCCATCCTCTGGCAACGGGGAGAGGAAGCTAGTGAGGCAGCTCTTCTTCACTCTGAGCAGCAACAAGAAGTGTCGTATGTGTAGTTAAATCTAGATTTTCCTTCTGATTTGACCTTAAAGTTGCTCTCGGTAGGGGCGACATGAGGAGGGGTTAAATCTGGAATGTCCTCTGTTTTATACCCCCAGCTGATAATCTGCAAATGAGCTGGCGACATCAATGCCTAACTTTCCCCAGGACACAGTGAAGAAGATTGCTTTGCAGAAATAAAAAATATACATATATATGAGTGCATATATATATGTATGTATAAATAAGTTTATATGTGTATAAATGTATGTATGTAGCCTGGGGTGTGGGACATACACACACACACACACACACACACACACACACACACAGAGGATTATATATGTATGTGAAGCAACTGTGACATCTTGCGGTCAGACTCTGTTAAACTGCCTCAAGGTCTGTGTTCATCTGAGCTCATAAATTATTCGGGTGTGTGGATGCAAGGAGACCTTCAAGGAAAGTTGAGGACATGAAGGAGAAACGGGACTGCAGGCAAGTCAGTGACGGGTCCGTGTCCCCGTGGGGATGTGCCAGGGTGCCCTTTGCCACTCAGGGTCACCAGAGGTCTGCTGGCCAGCTCCCAGGAGACAGAAATGGGCTTTGCTTTCTCCACAAGCTCCAGTGTGGGAAGCTATAATCATCTTGCTCAAACATCTCCGATTTAGATTTTCAGCGATACGGTAGCAGACAAAGAGACCCAAGTGCATGGGAGCTAGCTAACAGGGAGTTCTGCGACTTGATATAATGGTGTGAAGAAGATAAAAGGTTTAATCAGTGTAATAGCCAGGAAGCATAGCCGACCTTCGCACTGAACAGGGGATAGTGACTGATCTCACATCAACCAGGACACAGATTTTCGATGCATTTCTGCTCTTTAGGCTGCAATTTGCACAGGACAGGTCCCAGGGCAGTCCCAACGGAGCATCGTGCCAAAACACCTGCAGGTTCAACCTGCAGTAACAGCACGGGCATGGTGGGGGTGGTGAGGAGGGTGCAAGGGGATGCAATGCAAGGGAGAAGCTGCCTCGCAGGCAGCGTGGGGTACGTGAACTATACAGCATCAGAAAAGGACTGGGTAAATTAGATGAATGCAGGTATAAAATATTATGGCTTAAGGCTGAAGAAATTTCCCCATGGCACTATCATCAGCACCTGCTGACC